GATTCATATTATTCAAGCTTCTATATTTCTTGTGATCGGTCGAAGATATTTGTTGTAAAATCTTCATTGAACGGTTGGAGATAGGCGTGGTGAAATCTCCGGAAGCGGTCAAGGACATCCGTGAAATCCTTGTTAAGACGGTTGGAGATAGCCGTTGGAAAATCCTCAAAACTAGTTGGATACTTCAAGGCGTGAAGTATTGTAGATCTAGTGTAAACCTATTGGCAAAGGTTTGTTTGCCAAAAACTAGTTCTGTCGTGACGATCGTGTTGAGACGGTCAAGGCGTTCTAGTGGATTGAAAATCCTTAAGGAGGAGCCTTAAGGTACTGGAGTAGGTAGTTCCCGAACCAGTATAAAATCGGTGTGCATTTTCTTTACGCTTTTATTTTTTGCATTTTATATATTGCTTCTGCATTTACCAACACCGTTTTTGTTAAACTACGAAAAAGTTTTCAAACGCCTTATTCACCCCTCTAAGGCGTGGGCACAATGAATAAACCGAATAACAATTGATATCAGAGAAGTTTCGTAGTTGAAAGTGCTTAACCGCATCTACGACAAAGATCCACTTGTTGTGTCCCTTTTTAAATTTGACTTTTTAAACTCAAAATTTTATTATTTTCTTTAAATTCAAATTTATTAAAAAATGGCCCAAATGGACTATTAAAGAATCCACCGCCATTCATTTTTTAATGGCCAAAATTATTCTTATTGGAAAATGCGGATGGAATATTTTATTCGATCCATTTGTTCCATTTGTGCCAAGAAATTGTGATTTTGCAGGATTATCTTCGGAAGTTAAGAGAAAGTTATCAATGAATGCAAAAGCAATCAACATCCTTCATTGCTCTCTTAGCCCCGACGAGTTTGCACGAGTATGCTCATGCAAAACGACCAAGGAGGTATGGGAATTGCTACAAGCTACTCATGAAGGCGACATCTCAACTAAGCAAACGATGATTGCCCTTGGGAACTCCGAATACGAATCCTTCAAGAAAGGGTCAAGTGAGACAATCCAAGACATGAACAAGAGCGAGCTTAATACAAAAATTTTATTTTCTTTACCTAAAGAATGGAATAGTAGTATCGTAGATTTATTACCCAAATGTGATAAGGCCGAAACCGCCCACATTTGGTCTTCCTTGTATTCTCACGAACTTTTGATGAGAAAGATCACAGAGGAAGAAGCGCGTGAAAATCCTAAACTTACCAATGCCTTCAAAGCTTCCAGAAACTCATCAAGTGAAGAATCGAGTGAGTCAAGTGATGATTTAAGTGACTCAAACTCCTCGGAAGAGTCAAATGATGGGAAAGATGAAAAGAAGGAAATGAGAACAAAGTATACGTATTTTCTCAAATGGAAAAAATACGTGAAGAGTAAAGAAACGTATTCAAAGCCGAAGAAAGAGCGACATAAGCCAAGGTAAGTCTCTTTTTATCTCTCATAAAATTAATATATTCAAAATATGTTTGTCAAAATCACATCATCATCATCATAAAAATTCACAGTAAGAGGATTGGATGAATTAAAATACCAAGGGACACAGGAAGCCAAACGGTCGACCGCGAGATATTGACGGTCCACCAAATCAACCGTTTGTAGCGTTTAAAATCAGACCCCAATCTGTGACCCAAACGGTCGACCGTGACATTGGACAGTCCACGATATCAACCGTTGCGTTTTGATCCAGAAAACTGCCATACGCACAGTCGACCGTGGAGTTGAAACAGTCCAGCTTATCAACCGTGCAAATTTGTCCATGGTATCAACCGTGGTATCAAACAGTAGCCCACCATAAGAACGGCCGACCGTGGGAACCAAACGGTCTACCGTATCAACCGTTCAAAGTTAGTCTAGGAGACTGCCAGACGAACGGTCGACTGTGAGAGATACATGGTCCATCCCATTGACCGTCGACGCCTATTTAAACAGTCAAAACCCTATTCTTTTAGATCTACTCAACCGCGGCTGACTTCGTCTCCTCCGTCCAACGCCTGCAATTCCTCAATTTCGTCTCTCTCCATCCAAGCTCCAAGAATTCATCTTCCATGGCTCCCAAGAAGGACACCAACAAGCGCACAATTGCTCCGGATAAGATTCTAAACCTACCAGATTTCCCCCAATTCATTATCTCCGTTCTTACGCTTCAAGGATTGCTAGGATTTGTTGCAATAGATGAATTGGTGTATGATGAGCTTGTTTATGAATTCTATGATAACTTCTCTTGGGAAACTAAGGTTAATGGAGATGTAGAAGAAACTTCTTTTCTCAAATCTAAGGTTAAGAACAAAACTATAAACCTTGGAATTGAGGAAATTTGTGAATGCTTTGATATTGTTGATAACCGTGATGGATTTGAGACGTATGATTGACATGGTTTGAGCATGAAGGGTGATACTCTAGCTAGTTGTGTTGATAGGCTACACAATGGAGTTGAATATTCTGGAATTGTTAGGCCTAAAAGAGAATTTTTAAATGTTAATCAACAAATTCTTTTGAAAATCTTAAAAGAATGTCTTTTACCTACCGGAAGCAACGACTCCATTGTTGGTATGCTCGAGTGTGCCATTGTCTATCTCTTGGAAGTGGATTCTATCGTTAGGTTCCTAATGATGATGATGAACCATATGTGGAGTCACAAGGGTCATGGACAACTTCCATATGGAATGGCTTTGACTAAAGTGTTCCGAAAGGCCAAAATCAAGCTTGAAAAAATGCCAAGGAAGGAACTACGATTACAAGAACATGGATGCTACAAGTCTTCGACGATTACAAGAAGATCTTTCAACACTTTGATGGATTTCACACTGAAGCTTCCTACAACCAAATCTCAGTAGAAGAGAGAGAGACCGATGGAGACGTGAGCACAACTTGAGTAAATTTTCCAGCTTTTCCTCTTCAAACCCCGGTCCGAGTGTTGAGGTTCCACCATGTGCTTCTTCCATGCCTCGATCCTGTTCTACACACGCAAATATCGATCCTTCGATGAAGAGGTGTATGGATGAGAAGATAGCCCAAATGGAGGAAAGCATCACAAAGAAGGTAACCAAGTCCGTGACAAAGAAAATCTTTAACAAAATGAGAAAATGGATTGGTAGGCCTAAATCCCCGTCGTCCTCATCTTCTTCTTCGGAGGAAAAGAGAAGAGCTAAGAAGAAATCCAAAGGACCAATCATTGAGGAAGTTGTTGAGGAAGACCCCGAAACAATCAACGAGGAGAATTTACAAAAAGGAATTCGGGAAAGCCTTGCTGAACATCGTCACAACATTAGCTCATTTCCTCCTATGAATCCCTCATCCACGGTTGAATATGTTGGACATGAGTTCAAACCCCTTTACTATTTCTTCTGGAATATTTTTTTGTTTTGATGAATGACAAACAGGATGATTAAATTCAAGGAAGTATTTTTTTAACTCTTACTTTGCTCTTTCTCAACTATGTTTGTCATTATCAAAAAGGGAGAAATTATTGGACAAGAGTTCAAACCCCTTTACTATTTCTTCTGGAATATTTTTTTTTGTTTTGATGAATGAAAAACAGGATGATTAAATTCATGCTGATCGAAAATTTATTTTCGTATCGAGAAAAGCAAAGAGGCGTATCAAGATAAAATCAAGGCTTACCCCTACGCAGAAGTTTTTGAAGTGAAGTGAAAACTCCGAAGATTTCTTTTAATTGAGTCTAGGAATCTTTGTAAGGATGACAATACTTTCTGCACAAACAAATTATTTTTTGAGGGATAAAAATTATTATTTTCTGAGTCAGTTGAAAAATTACTTTTCCTCTTTCTAAAAATATTTTAATGAGTCAGTTTCAAAATAAGTGTGTCAAAATTTCTTAAAAACATTTTTTAATAATACACAAATTTTTTTTGTGGTAAGAAAAATATACTTTAAATATTTTTCGTGTACATCGTTTGACACACAAAATAATTTTTGGACTAACTTTTTCTCCCCTATTCAAATTCATTGAATAAGGGATACTTTCTCTTGAGGAGCGTTCTTGTCTCAAACAAACGAATATAAGCCAATTCACTTCTTATCGCAACTGGCCTTGGGCCCTTTGTGTTTTGCGCATTATTCTTTATTTAATCGATTAACAGTTTCTTTTTAATCGATTAGATCCAGCTCCTTAGCGCTGGATTTCTCAGGCTTTTAGTTTAATCGATTTTTATTCTTCATTTAATCGATTAGTTGAGACAGCGCCATCTAATCGATTATTTTGTCAAATTTAATCGATTAATTTGCACCCTGCGCAGAAGTCCTTTTCGCTTCTGTACACCTTAATCGATTAAAGGCTTTACCTTAATCGATTAATATTGTCTGGTGTCTATTCTCAATCTGCTCCAACGGATCTTTTATCCTTAGCCTATTTAATCTCTCATTCTCCTTCATTTTTACACACTACTCTTGCACTCTAATATACCCTTTGAGCTATATTCATTCCTTGCTTCATCTTCCTCATCAAATATTATTTTTGAGAGTTAGAAATATTTTCTTTTAGTGATAAAGAAGTTGTCATCCATAGAGCTTTAATCCTTCAACACTACTTTGCTCAATTGTGTGAGCTTTCATTTTTGTGTTGTAAACTCAATCTCATTTGAGTGTTGTTCTAAAGACTTGTGTGACTCAAGTCTTGTTGTTGTAAGAAAGTGAGGCTTGTGTGATTCAAGTTCTCAAGTTGTACCGGTTTTTCAAGCACCCGTTGAAGCTTGAAGATTAGTAGGACTTTCGAGAGAGTCTCTCGGAGGACTGGACTAGCCACGAGG